ACGCATCATCCATAAATGTGATTCAAGTATTCAACGCTTTGTTCATTTTTGTTGGAGGCTTTGGTACATTCGAAATCAATTTTATCATAACAATGTTGCACCCGATTTCAATGAGATTAGACGATGATGTCGTTTTTTTCAGCTGATTAAGCTCATGCTCTCATGATTCCTTATTGCGATTCCTCTGTTTCATGTCTTGCCACTCGTTAAGTTTCGCTAAGTGATGGATTTAAAAATATTCTTTTAAAGTGTACAAATATATCACTAATATGATTTTTTTTTTCATATAGGTGAATAATTAATATAAAGAAATTTAGATTTCAGGATAGGTTGGTACTCATCCTAGATAACACATACATACATCATTGGTTCTAATAGATGTTGACTCCGTAAATGTCAGTGTTGATGTTTCATTCCAATAGAATCAATTGTATGTCGGTGTTCGCATTGTTATTCGAGGGGCGGATGGTATATATATCTAGCAGCTCGAACCTGGTTATATTAGTTCTCTCCGTCGTGCCAACCATATGTTGTGCTCATAGAAGCGCCAGATGTTTCTTACTACTTGTTGACTTATATAGACACTCATTTTCATTCGGATTTGAATTAAATTTTTAAAATTTTAATTTTCTTCCTTTTTTTTTAATTCTGTTTGAAGTTTTAACCAATTTCCTTTTGATTAGTTTTAATATTATTATATATTAAGATAGATTTGTTAGATATAATATACTAGATTAATTATATTAATATATTAGGTAGAGTTAGTTTACGAATATATATATATATATATATATATATATATATATAAAGTGTGTGTCATAGTATTAATTAAGTCGAGTTATGAAATATATATGCACGTTTTTGGAAGTTAATTATAGTTTAATCATAATTATATAACTACTAAATATGTTATTAAACTAAGTACTAATATACTATTTTTTTAGCAGATTACATTACAAATTATAAGTCCAACATACTCAAATCTGTCAAGCCCAGTAGTGACTCAATACAAGGAAATAGCCCACGTTCAGTTACAACAAGGCAAGCACATACCATATTACAAAGATTCGGTTGAGATTTGAGCCTTTATGAATTAACCGAAAAAGTGGCTAAGAGGAGGTGAATTGATTATTTGAAAATTTGGGAATCAAGGAGAAAAGAAAGGAAATATTTGCACAAAGATTTATAGTGGTTCAACTTCTTTAATGAAGTTGACATCATCGACCTTAGCTACTCACTAAGGATATCTAACAAATTTACTAATTTGTTCTTTCTTTTTCTAGGCTCAATAGTAACCTTTACAAATTCCCTATCTTTTCAATGGCTCAATTTCAATGGCTAATATAGAATCACTCCCCTTTTAAGAAAACATCTACAAGGTAAGTGTTTACAATTTAAGCTCACTAAAACACAAGAGAGAATGAAAAATAAGAATTAAAGAGCTTTTCTCTTGATGAATATTGCTTGGATAGGTGTTGTAACCTTTTGCAAGTATCCTCAACTTGTTTTTATATGTTAGAGTGAATTTATAGTTGTTTCTAGCCGTTGAGGACTTAATTGTTGCAAAATAAAACTGCTTAGACCAGAGAGTATCGGTACTCGAGATAGAAGTATCAATACTGCCCTAATAACTTTTAAATAAAATATCTGTTTATGACCGTTGGGATAGGTGAATATTGATACTAGGTTATGGTATTGATACTACTATATAAAGTAGTATCGATACTCCTTTGAGTATTTGTACCAAATTTATCTACTGGAATATGAACACCTTTAAAAACAATTGGCAGTATCAATAATGTTAGATGAGTATCGATACCTCTCTTACCTTGGGTACCGATACTGCAAGAACAATATCGGCACATGCAATATCGATACTGTAAGAATAATATTGGTACTGCTTTGCTAGAAAATTATTTTTGTGTTCAAATTCTTGTTTAATGGACTTTGAGTTATTTTTGAACACTTTGAATAAACTCAATCAAGTCCAAAAACATTTCAATCTCCCCTTTTGATATAACAAAAAATTTGAAAAATGATATTGGCAAAAACTCCCCCTTAATAAAATATTTAATGAAAAAGAGAAAATATTTTAGAAAATATTTAAACTCCCCCTTTTTCATTCTTGAAATTGAATTTTTTAAACAAATACTTCTCCCCTTTTTGTTATAAAAAAAATAATTCAAACTTTAAGGTATAAAGTAACAATGGAGAGTAAGTAGAAAACTTAACATGAAATCATTTGAAAAATAAAAAAATCCTCCTCAATTAAAGCATTAAAAAATGACACTTAAAAGACATTGAATTTCAACAAAGATGAACAAACATATTAGTCGCACATGAAATTCAATATATCCAAGTCTATCATACTTTATGTATTTTCATGAAATAGACTTTATAACTCATATGCATAAAGCATTTAAATTTAAGGTCAAGAAAAAATTGCTTAAAATCATTGAAAATCACATCTTGCAAAAAAAAATGTTCATCATAACATATTCTTCAACATACAAGAGAGATTTTATGCTCAACACTCATGCATGAATAAAAACATGGAATAGACAATCAAATTACAAAATCAAGATCGGTGGCTTGGATGAACAAACTTATCATATTCTTCCAATAGGAGTACTTGGCACCATTGAAGTAAGGATGCCTCGTGATGGAGTGAAAGTTCTTGAGCTAGTATGGAAGTCGAAGTCATCTTCTAGGTTGAGTAAAGAATTTTTTAGGCTCGATCGATCAACCGAAAACCGCCAAAATAGGGTGAATTGGCTTTGATAGAGTTTGGTGGAAACTTGAGCTAAAAATAATACTTTTTGGCAAAAATCGATTTATAGTAGTTTGATTTTCTCAACCAAAGTCTACATCCACTACCTTAGCTTTCCACCACTAAGATTTAAACAAATTCAATAATTTGTTCTTACCTTTAAGGATAAGGTGTAACCTTACAACTTTATCTTTTCAATGGCTAAGATAGAACCACTCTAGTTTTTCTAAGGCTAAACTAGAACGACTCCCTTTTTACAAGGTTTGAATTGTGTAAACAAGAAGACCTCTCAAGGTAGGTGCTTACAAAGATTAAGTTCACAAGAATGAAAAAAGATATGCAATTAAGCTCTATACACTTATGTACAAGAGAAAATGAATGAAATAGGAATAGAAACTCTTTTCTCTTGATCTCTAAGCTTGGATTGGTGTAGTAACCTTCTTCAAGTGTCATTGGGTTGCTTTTATAAGTCGGAATGAGTTACTAGCCGTTGGGGATGAATTTTGACTATTGGAAGCTGAAAAAATCTGTAATTATGCACAGGAGTTTCAAAACTGTCTTTAAAAATCCGATCGTTGGAACAAGGGTTTCAAAACCTTTAGGCTGGCTACTGCCTCGAGGGTTTCGAAACTACCTAAGGAGGTTTCGAAACCAGGCCCAAAATTGATTAATTTCACCTTTTCAAATCTTAAAATCTTGATTTTTTTTTGCAATGTTTGAACAAATTCAATTAAGTCCAAAAACATTTTCCCCTTATTTTTTATATCAAAATATTGGTTCTACAGTCTCCCCTTTTTAATATAACAAAACCTTTGAAAAATGGTTTTTTTCACATAAACTCCCCTTAATAAAACATGTTACGTAACGTCATCAGCATCCGCAATCACAATTTTATACTATGGATGAGATATGAAAGGTAGGCAAGTGGTGGCTTTTTTCAACACCGCATTCCTCGACTGAGCAACGTTGGCCGAGCTGGAGCTGGTCGTGGACGGAGAGACTTCCGGGAAATTGAAGAGATGTTGCGATTTTTCTGCGTGCTAATTTGCTGTCAGTAGGTGGTGATCGTGGAGGAATCAGCCTTCTTCGGAGATGATTGAGAAGCTACCGCTTAGTTCCATCTGTGCTAAAAGGTCTTTTTCTGGCATGGTTTTCATCACCGGTGAATCGCCGCTGCGGTGGAGTGCTGCATAGTGTGTGTTTGCAGTCTCTGGTGATTGTCGTCACCGGCGAATAAGTATACGTCAAGTTTTTAATATTAGAATATTAAAATAAATAAAAATATATACTAAGTGTGATTTAAAAAAATAAAATTTAAGTATTAAAGATATAATTTATGTTTAATTTTTATACTAGGATGGGATGTTATTTTAGTTGTTTCAAGAGTGGAGTGGAGTGAGGAATTTCAATTAAATTCAGTAATTATTCGCAATGGTTGCGTTGCGTTTAGAAAGTCGACAAATACTGGTGAGAGATTTTAGCTGCCAATCCAAAGCCCTAGAGCCACATACACATACACAGAGAGAAAGCTACAAAGTTAAAAGTTGACATGTATTGTTTTTACCATGTATAACATAATTATAATTAATGACAAATAAATACTTCAAATTCTTTCTAATTAAATTCATTAATTCTTCAAAACTGTCCAAATATGCCATGCAAGGGAAATTCAATGAAGACCACCATTATAGGATGTAACATTTCAAAGATTTTTCAAATTTTACTTTTATATCAAAAGAAACCATTAGAATACTCAAAATATGTTCAATGAGAAGAAAAAATAACACTCAAAATATTTATAATTAAATAACAAAATGGTTGTCAAAACTTAATACCCCACTTTTGTAATATGGAAAGATTGTATTTTCACTACTTTTTAATTAAATTCACTTTCAATTAATTAATATATATTTAAAATATTTTTATTTTCAATTAATTCCTATTTATCTTAATATTCAATTTAAACTGAATTGAATTTAACCAGTTAAAATCTCTTCACTAGTTTTAAATAGTGAAGTGGATATTCTCTCTCACTTTTCCTATTTTTATTTATTTTTCCACAAAATAGTTTTTTTTTCCTACTGATAATAAATTGATTCACACTTTGTCTCTTTACTTGCCATATAATTCTAAGTCTTCTAAATTCCCAATCTCACCTTTCACTTCCATTGTGTTGTTGAAAAGAAAAAAAAAATTCTTCACTCTCGTTCTTGATCAAGCTGATAGAGAGATGGAAAACGAGACAGTTTCTGGTGAAACATCAGATTTAAGATCATCAAAGCCGATCAAGATTTTAAAACTGAAGATCTCGAAACTTTGTAATCAGCATATCTGCCCCTTTTGCAGCAAGGAGTTTACCTCAGGGAAGGCATTGGGAGGTCATATAAGGATCCACACCAAGGGAAACAACAACAATGGCCGCCATAGAAGGATTTCGAAGCTTTGTTCGAACCCTAAGAGACGGATCTCGCCGAAACATAGTGGTGATCAAGAAGATGATAAGATTGTCAGTTGCTGCGTGTGTAACAAGGTGTTCAAGTCAATGAAATCTTTGTTCGGACACATGAGGAATCATCCTGAACGGAGCTGGAGAGGGATCCGACCGCCGCCTTCCGAAAAAAACAGCTGTTGTTCGAGTGTTTCCGAAGACGGAGAAGCTACGGAAGTCCATCAGGTTAGTTATGCAACAGAGGAAAACTCGGAAGATGAGGAGGTTCTAGAAGCTGCTTGTTGCCTGATGATAATGGCTCAAAAAAATTCCTTTGATTTTGATCGGTCAAGTTTTGGAAAATCTTCACTAACGGATAAGCTTTCAATTGATAACAATAGTTGTTTTGATCAATTTCACAAGTCCCCAAGGAAGCCTGTTGAAGAAGAAGGTGATCCATCAGCCATGGAAGGTTTTTACCCTAAAAACCCTAATGGCCATGGAAAACAATTCGGGGCTCCAGTGAACAAAACCACAGCGCCGGAAATGGTGGAGGGTGTTCGCGAACACCGATATTCTGAAACCGAAGACAGTCATCAGGTTTGTTCCCACAAGATGTTTGATTTTGATCTGAATGAACCTTATGTGCCTGTAGATCACGAGGGTATCATATAGAGCTTGTCAAGAACTACATATTTCAATGTTTTCAGTTCTTTTTTTTGTTAATCTCAGTTCAGCTTGTGACGTTTGTGGTTACTTTCAACAAATTGAATCCTTTTGATTCTATCTTCAGAATTACTGCGTTTATTATGAAATCAAAATCATGTGTTTATTATTCTTGTTTTGCATATCTAATATATTTAGGGATCACAATGCAGTTCGGTAGAGATTGATTTCTCCACCCTTATCTTAAGGCTTTATATGTTTTTGTTACATTCATCACCTCTGATGTTTAACTAATGAATTTTAATTTAATTGTGTATAAAAATATATTTATAACATAATTTTAATATATAATATATAATTATTATAAAAAATCATTTCAAAATTAAAATAAGAATTTTAAAATTTAGAATGGGTTTGGGAAGTCATCCTATAGTTAGATTTGGGTATAATTATATAATTTTTGTGTTTGTAATCTTTAAATATATTTTTTATTTTTAAGAGAGATTAGAATTGATGTAATTATATTCTTTAAATATTATTTTTATAATAAATATAAGTAATTTTATGTTTGTATACCTTTTATAATAACATTTTTTATATGTAACATTTTTAACTTATTTATTTATTTATATATGCATGATGTTTTTGTATTATTTATTTGTTTCTACTTATGACATCAATTTATAATTTATTATTATTTCTATTCATTAGGGTTCTATAATATATATATATAACACCTTTTTTCAACTTTAATGATTTATGTTGAGTATTTCCATATTTATAAAAATCTTTTTAAGGTTTAACTTTTCTTTTTTATGACAGTTAATATTATTTAGAATTAAAAAAATTATATGATTATATAATTACAATTTGTACAATTAAGTATGACTTGAAATTTTATGTAATTACGTTGTGCCTATACATTGTTACTGAAATAATAATTATATTTTAATAAAATTACATTGTGGTATCCAAATATACTCTTAATAAAATTACAATGATAATTAATTGAAATATCATTATTAAAAAAATGCCTTTTAAGATATGTTTAACAGCTTAAATGAATGTTGGTTGACTGATCTCATCCTAATGCTGTTTGACTGATCTTATCTTTTGTATTGATGGGTTTAAACTATTGTTAGTTCCAAAACATATTGGAAATTTAAAGAGATATTCTTTGAAGTCTCTCATATTAGTTTGCGGTATTATCTAAAAGAATAATTTCGCTAAAATCTTTTAGTTGTTTGATTTCGTACGTTTATTTTCAGATTGACTTTCATGAAGTATAATTTTTAATTTTATATTTATCAATAATTAATTTTAAATCAAATTAATTAATAATCGAGCTTTGAAAAAAATTAATTGTTAACTAATATGATATTTAATTAGTTGATAGTTAAATTTAATTTGATCGATTCATTTTAAATTGAACAACGAATATCCATAAAGTTGAGAAATCTTCACCCGAAGAGATTTAGATTCCTCCGCATAAACTATATGAGGGAGGAGTGACTCCACACTCTAGATGTTACATCTTTGTAGTAAGGGTGTAAATAGCTGACCGACCTGTAAAACTGACTGAAATCGACTCGAGTTAAAACTGTTTTTGACCTGCGCTGTGGCGATTTGAAACCGACTCGAGTCGGAATTGGTGTTGACCTGAACCCGAGTTGGACCTGGAAATTGTGGATCTGAACCTGACCTGCACCCGACCTGAGAACGACCTGAACCCGAATTGAACCGAAAATATGATATCCGAACCCGAACTGCACCCGACTGATATAGACTCGAACCCGAGATTGACCTGGTAAATAACTGGTATACTCGACCTGTTTTCAACCTGACCTGTTATGAACTGACCTGTAATGACTCAACATGTAAATGATCTGACATGTTAAAGTGATCTGATATTGTCCTGACTTATAAGTAATATGTTAAAATTAATATAATTATGTTATTTTAAATTTATAATAAACTTATGATAATTAAATTAATATGATTACTTTCTGAAATTTAGTTTTTATATTAATTATAATTTGTATATTATAAATTTAATTTTTATATTAATTTCAATTCTTTATATTTTATAATTCTTATATTATAAATTTATTATAATCACTAAATTAAATTTAAATATTGTCTTATTGAACATGGTTTTATTAAATTATATAAATTGAGTTAAAATATTCATAAATCTAATTTACTTTTAATGTGAAAATTGATTAATAAATTAAGTATAACTTAACTTGAAATTTTAAAATAAAAAATATTTAGTTGAATGATGAACTTATTAAAGATTTGAAACTTGAATAACATTATAAATACTAAAACAAAAAAAATTATAAATAAAGTTAATTTTATTACACTTGAAAATACTAAAATTACAATAAAATCAATTAATCAAAATTTCATTATCAAATAGTCATCATCCATAACAAGTAAAGTATTTTCACCACTTTAAGTTCGAATGTAAAGATCGGACCCCTCTTTTGCCTCCGGGGAAGCTGTTACGGTGAACCATTCTTTCAACTTTCACAAACTTGGTGGAAAGTAGAAATTAAACAATAACCTACCAGAAGACCAATTTCTCTTCTCCTGGAGGCCGTCTTGCCTCGATTGGTTTCCGTCCGGTTATCAGCTCCAACAAGATAACCCCGAAAGCATAAACATCAATTTTATCATGCACTTTTCCATGTTGGAAATACTCGGGTGCCAAGTACCTACATACCTAAAATATGAGAGAAAAAAAGACAAATCTTTACTGAGTATTTCATGAAGCAAAATAAAACGAAAAAGTGTCCTTTAGCTTTCTATAGAACAATGTTGTTGACAGCATACCCAAATGCTCCTTTAACAGTTTTGCAAAGGAATGGAATTGAAGGTGCGGATGTCTAAGTTGCTAATCCAAAATCACACAACTACAACCATTACAATTGCAGATATCACATAATCAAATTGCAAAACGACGACTTCTATCCGTTTTCAACTCAAGAATTAAGGACCGAGATCCTTACCTTGGGTGTTTTCTTGGAAGAAAGAAGAATGTTGGAGGGCTTGATATCTCTATGAACAACACATCTTTCAGTTCCGTTGCTACTATAAATCCTTAATATACCGCAGTTTAGCAAAATAAGCTAATTGATCCAAAGGCTTTATGCTAGAGAATCAATTTTGAAATACCGAACATACAAAATGTAAAACAACATTGTACACACAGGAGATGCTGGCAACCTCTGTCAACATCCAAACCAGTTTACATCAGGTGTGAAGAACGCAATTGGAAAACTAAAGCATTTGGGATGGATGAAGTGGGTTTTACAAATATCAAAATACAATTTTGCAGTATAATTTAAGGCCCTGTAAGAAAAACCTGTATTCTCCCATCTGTTTTTGAGCTATCAATATCTATTATAGCCTTGATTATTGGATTCAAAGAATGTATAGTGAATAGAATCAATTACATAACCAAATAATTTGTTCAAATTAGTATTGCTGCGTATCCCTCCAAAAAGAAACTTTAACAGATAAAAGAAGGCTCCTTGATAGAGAAACTTTAAAAAGTAATGGAAAGACGTAAACTTCCACTTATAATAATTTGGTGAAATAACAGTCAGTACACTAACCGATTTGATCTAAAGTTTCCCCACTCAAATGCCAATTTATGTCTTCGGATGCCATAAGAAGCGTAATGAACACTTTTAATTTGTAGAAAGCATCCAAACCATGCAAACTAAATATATTTCTACTTCCAAAACTATAACATAACATTCAATCATACAACTTACGGGCAAAACAATATAACCATACCTCAAAGGAAAGAACCCTCACCTTTAAGCTTGAAGCTACCTGTCATTTCAATCAACTTCATCAAGATATATACAAAAAAAATAAACAAATTCCAATTAATAGAATAACACTAAATATCACTCAAAAAGGCCGAAAAGAAAAATAGAAGCTTTGTGCTCACCCATGTAAAAAGTGCTGAGAGCCCAACACCTACTCCAATCCAGAAAAGCGGCAGCCCTCTGCAAAATATGAACACATAAACAACTAAACAAAGAAATAAATGTTAATAAAATATACACACACCAGAAACTATATATATTTGGAATGTCCGTCTAATCAATACTTTCTCTTTCAATAACCTTAAACTGCTATAAAGTAAAAGTAAACAATTAAAAACTATAATTATTTCACTAAAAATGTGTAGATTATTGAAGTTTGATATCAATTCACATACAGCTATTTCATATACAAGAAAAATAATACAGTATTCCATTATACATGAAAACTATGTCTCTGTTTGATAATCGGTTTTTGCTCATTACAAAGTTACTAAGTGTCGGAACCGTCTTCGGTTGGGCTTCGACTTGAATTGATTGGGTTAGAGTCGTCACCGATCATTTTAAAAACGATATTTAGGTAGATCGGACACCATCTTACCTGATCTGCATTTTACCATAAACGTGTCGGGCTCAGGAGTCGGTTACGGTCAAAGAAGGATTAGCACCCGCACCCTTGAACCGCCCTTTCGGTACCAATTAATTTGCCGGTTGTCTTAATTGCAAAAATTTGAAATTTAACTTAAAATTTAGAAATTCAATTCAAATAATTACCTTTGATCGATTGAAAATATCGATAAAAGTCAAAAATGTTAGATTTTAAAGGTAATAAATAAAAATAAGAAAAAAACAAATAAATAAAAAAATAAACTAAAATTAAAAGGAAAAAATGAATAACTAAAATAAAAATGCTAAAATTAAAAAGGGAAAAAATGAATAACTAAAAATTTAAAAGGCTAAATTGAAATAAATCAAAATTGATAGATTAAATTGGTACTAAAAATGAACTGCAAAAGTCAGGAGGCCAAATCACAATGAGAAACGACTTCAAACAAACAAATGAAATTTCTTCAAACCTGGAAGGACAAAAACAAAGTTTGGCCCTAATAATTCCAAGACCAACAGGTTACACCCTTGGAGCATGTAACCAGTACACGTGAATAGCAGCAGATTTCCATTCTTCTTATATGTTTTTGACTCACTTGCCTTGTACATGGTACTGAGCATCCATGTAGTTCTTCAAGGCAACGATATCCACATCTTCCGAGTCTCCAAGATAGCTACGGAAGCGATGCTTTTTCCTAGATGCTATGAGAGCCTCTCGATCCTTGGATTCAAGCCGGTAAGCGAGCCGGTTGTTCGGATTGAATTTCAGCGCTTAGACAAAAGAAATCAAAGGGAAAGTTCATGAGCTTCCTGCACTGTCTTCCCCCTCCAGCAACAGTTGGTTGTCGTGGTAGAACGAGATGGCCGGGAAAAGAGAGGCCAACACACCGCCCAGACTGTGACCGACCACTATGATTTTGGCATCGGGGTTTCTCTTCAAAAGGTCTCTCAACGTATCCGTATGTCGTAATAAGCTTGCCCCCCCCCCCCCCCAAAAAAACATTTTTGCATCCCTAAAGCTTTCAAGAAACCACTGTGAATCCTTCCGATGCCGTTGAATTCATACCAAGACAGATCAGCGCCAGAACACCAATCATCGGCACTAAATGGTCGCGTTCCTCTGAAGCAAACAACAATGGTATTGTGCTCGGCAGTTTTGTTCCGGAACAGGGAAACTTGGGTATCAGCTTTCATCATGAAATAATTCCAATAATTTTTGAATCCAATGAGTTGCATCGACTTAGATTGGGCATCAACAACAGTTGATTCAACACAATGGCAGATATCCTGGCCGATAATTTTGCGAACAAACCATGGCCCTGGAGCAAAGATGGTAAGAGCACGTGTAGTGGTTGAATGATATTTAAATTGTAACTTTTGAATCTTGACGAAGTTTGACAAAAATGGGTTGAGACAGTGTACGAGTGACATGGTAAAGGTAGAAGGAGTGAATTCCATGGCCCCCCTTCCTCATTCGTCTGTGCCTCTTTTTAAATTAAAAAAAAAATACTAAAAGTCCATTTGAAAGTGGAGAGCAGTGAGTTTGAGGGGGGAGTGGTCCACATCTCCCCTGAAAAACAAAACCCACGTGATTTATAGTGAAAGTGGTGGAGATAATGGTAAGGTAGGTATGAGGCCTACAAAAAATAAATATTAATAATAATAATGGAAATAATAATAAAAATAAATAAATAATATAATATAATATTTCTGTAGATCCGGACAAAAACGAGTGTCTACACGAAGAAAAAGGATTAAAAATAGATAAATGACTAAAATGCAACATTAATTCTAATATAGACTACTACTTTCTAATCCTGTGCTGAAGCAATGTTTTCCCCCTGAAAAATTAGCTCATTTTATCCCATTTTCAAAAGCAGAAATTAAAAAACCAAAGATAATACAAGGAAAACGATGAATTGAATTACATATGAGAGGAAGGCGGTGGCACAGTTGGATAAGGGTTGACTCTAACCGAAGAAGTTTGTTGATTACTTGAAGAAGAAATGCTGGAAAACCTTTTGTCTCCAGATTTTCTGAAAACTAAACCATAGGTAGGGAAAACAGGAAACAACAATGAAAGAGGTAAAACGAGAGAAAAGGAGGAGATTTTAGATGTTGAGTGGGAAGAAGAGAGACCAAAAATAAGGAGGGATGGTTTGGCTGGGAAGAGGCTGGCGAGAGAAAATGGTTAATTTTGGGGCATGTTTTCAATTTCATTCCTATAAAATTTATATTAATAAACTATTTATAATTAATATTAAAATAATTATATATTATAATTAATATTAATATAATTAATATTAATATTAACTTATATTAATATAATCTAGTTTATAATTTATAATTTATAATTAATATTAATATAAAATATAGTCTATCAAATTAATATTAATATAAACTATATGTTATAAATTATATAGTATAGTTTATACATTATAGTTAATATAATTAATATTAATACATTATAGTTTATAAACTATATATTATATTAATATAAATTATAGTTAAGATAATTAACATTAATATAAACTATAGTTTATAAATTATATACTATGGGTTATCAAGTATAAACTATATAGTACACTAATATAAACTATTGTTTATAAACTATAGGTTACATATATAATTTATATAACATATAAATAGATTGTATATATACATATACCATAGGTTATATATAATATACATAGTTTATACATACATGTACTATAAGTTACATATATAGTTTACATGTATACATATACTATAGGTTACATAGATTAACTATTGTCTATGCATGGTGTTTAGGGTTTAAAGTTTATACTATATATAATTTAGGGTTTAGGGTTTATATAAACTATATACTTTATTACTTTATATAGTTTATGCATAGTGTTTCTATAAACTATATAAATAATTTACTTTATATGGTTTACATATATAGGTTATATATATATATAGTTTATATATACTATACATAGTTTGTACATACATGTACTATAAGTTACATATATAGTTTACATGTATACACATACTATAGGTTACATATATTAACTATTGTTTATAGACTATAGGTTAATGTTACATATAATCTATATAAACAATTGTTATATAAATTATATATGAATTATCAAATGTGTCTATACATATATAATTATAAAGTTTAGGTTTTATATAAACTATATACTTTATATATATACTTATATACTTTATATTTAAACTATATAAACTATATAATTTATACATAGTATATAAATTTTAGTTTATATTAATAAACAATATAATTTATACATAGTATATATATTTATAATTATACATAATATAAATATAAATATAAGTTGTATATATTTAAATATAATTCATATATAATTATATACTAACTATATAATTTATATTAATAAACTATATAGTTATATATATATATAATATAAATATAACTATAGTTTATACATATATATATATATATATATATATTATAGTTGTTTCAATTTTTTTCTCAACTTTTGAAATGAATGCAATTAGTCCATTTTACAGATTTTCTTCACATTTTACAATTATTTGATTTTATCCCTTTGTGTTGTTTAATTTATTTAAATTTTTATTTTTAATTTCATATTTATTCAATTTAATCCTTAAAATTATATTTTCATCTGAAATCGACCCATACTTATTACTTATTTATATTTTTAATTGGCCCATAATTTTTTAAATGGGTATAATTTAGTACATTTTATATTAATTTCAACCTCAAATTTTAAAATTATTTTGATTTGGTCCCTCATCAATGTGTGTTGTTTAATTTATTTATATTTTTACTTGTAATTTTATATTTGTTCAATTTAGTCCTTAATTTAATGTTTTCATAAAATTGATCCATGATTATTTATATTCTTAGTAATTTACTCTAAATTGATACAATTATAAATTGCAATTTAACGTTTGCGAAAGAAGAAAATAATTAATCCAAAAATAAAAATTGACTCGATTTGAACTCAATTCGTATCTGATAAAGATCTGACCTGAATTTTATTTGCCAATGATGTCACCCTATCTGAATGAGATCCGTCTGAAGTCCATCCGAACCTGAATTAACCTGGTCTTTATTTGTTCCGGACCTAAACTGACATCGATCCGAACTGAAAATATCCCGACCTGAACCCGAACTGTACCTGGTGTCAAATCAACCTGAAAAATGACCCGACCTGATTTGACCTAGACTCGACCTGATCCGAGTCGAAACATCAAATTTACCTGACTTGACCTATATCTGTTTTTACCCGACCTGACAGGATTCGACTGAAACCTGAATGATTACCCGATTTTACATCCCTACTTTGTAGGTTCGCCCAAGGGTGTCGGGTGCCTCTGCTAGGCAACATGAACAAACCTACTTCTATTAAGAGTATTGAGATGTATTTATTCCAGCAGAAGGGGAGGGATGCCCTCCCCCTGCTTATATCACGATAAAGATGCCTCCACCCATCAGTTAAATTTTTTTGAGAGTGTTGAATTGCTTATCTATCAATTAGGAATATTAAAAAAAAATCCACATGTCTCTTTTGTCACTCTAAAAACTGATTAAAAGAGTCGAGATAATTCCATCCTGATAATAAGAATTATTTCATTATCACATCCCATGATGTAGAGATTACTCCCTCCCAAAAAATGTTGTGTTACCTACACATCTATAATATTCGAAAAAAGTAACCCTATAGTTCTTCAAATTTTCAAAGATTGTTGGAAAATTAAGAATTAATTGAATAAAATTGACGCTCTTTACATAAATGGTCACTTGGTGAAAATACTTTTAATAATAAGTTATTTGATTTGGTTTAAAGTTGCATCCATTCAATTATACCTATTAGCTTTCAACTATAATCCCTTCATCAAATAGTCTTAACTCATTGTCAAAAGGTAATAATCTTTTTATTAATTTCCTCTCCTCTATAAATAGACTAGTTAAGGCACAAATCTTAGAGACACAAGTTACATCATGCAAGGTTAAAATGTTGGAATAAGAAAACACTTAGAAAACTCCTTCTAAATTCGTTCTTCCCTGTGATAGAGAAACACAAGATTGCGTTCGACTGATCACTACAGTTGTGCTTATTGTTGTGATCATTTATTGTTGTATCATGGGAGACTGACGTCCAATGTTACTCAAAGCACTGAGGAGAGGGTGAATCTTTCTTAAGGAAAATGTTCATACATGCCTTAACAAAACTTCCTCTTCTGTTTATCTGACACTGCTAATCCTTAATTTCATGTTAAAATATGAGTAAAAAGTTCTATTTCTCTACTTCAAATCTTTATTTATTTTGCTTCGTTCTATTTATATAATAATATTTGTTTATTATTATTATTATTATTTTATGTCTCAGATTAACCATTTTGTCAAACAATCTTAAGAAAAATTCTTTATTCTATTAATGTATGTCAAACATGATAACGAAAGAACCAGTGGAGAAGTGTGGTCTGTGATTAATTTTTTATTTCAATATGCAATTCAAAATTGTCGGGGACTATTTAATTTTATGTTTTTATTGGTCAAATCTTCACATGGTGCATTGGTGCATGTCATGGAAGGATGGAATTGGTGCTAGGTACCCTCGAATATTATTTATTTACTCTTTTGGAAATTTTTAGTTTGCATGGTATAATAAATTTTATGAACTACATATTATCTACCTTTGAAATCAACAAAGAATAAAATTTTCAATCTGCAAAATTAGAAAATAGAAGTGAAACTTTGGTGCTATAGAACAAGGCATCAAAATTAATGCTATACACAAATACACGTAATTGTGTTCGGATTTATATTTTTTTTTTCTGATTTTATTTTTATTAAAATCTGACATTTAATGGTTTCAACAAAATGACATTGATTGTGAATTTCTATTTCGGGTTTTAGTTTTACTAAATTCCCTTCAATTAACAGAAATTACTCATCGTGATTAATATGGTACCAAAACAAAATTTTGATTTGTTATGAACAGAAGATTTATTTCAAGATTTTAATTCTGCCATTTTTATCAATTAGAAATATTTAAAAAAATTCTACCTCTCCCTGTTGTCACTCTAAAAACAGATTAAAAGAGTCGAGATATTTCCATCCTGATAATAAGAATTATTTCATTATCACCTCACATGACATAGAGACTCCTCCCTCCCAAAAAAAAAGGTATGATACCAACACATCTATAATATTCGAAAGGAGTAACACTACAGTTCTTCAAATTTTCAAAGAATACGGGATGCTTGTACTTAACTAAAAGAAAATTTCATAAGCAAAGATGTCTTTACCACTATAAAGGGGGATAAAAGGCATCGTATTGTATTTACTTACGACAAAAGAAACTCCACCCAATAATCAAACTCCTCTAATGGTATTAGGTTACAACAAAGAAGTCCCAAAATCTTTTGCAGCTTGAGGAGATGAAGTTCTACCTAAGGAATAATTGTTAGAAAATGAGTAATCAACGGGTAGAGGGTTATGGAAATAAACCTCCTCTCGAAAGTTTTTTAATCTTTAATAAAAAAACTTTCAAGAGGAGGCTTATTTTCATAACCCTCCATAGCATTAGTAATACTATGTAAAAGTCTTCGAATCTAAACCTAATCTTTATTCAACTATTCCACTCAATTACTTAAATTTAAGATTTCTAAAAATTAAATAATATTCCATTTAACCATTGATTGAAACTCAAACATCCTTTACACTTAAATTCATGCATTATGAATTTTAAATGCAAAAATCCAGCCTAGTGGCTGCAATTAAATCTTATACTTAGTTAATGCATTTGAGATTTTAATTTGGCTTAAAATATAAAAATGTATAAATTATAGTATTTTTCACAAATAAGTGCTTAAACTATTTTTTTTAATGATTCTGGTGTCTAACGTTACCATTTTAGGTGTTCGGACCGTCAATGACGTTAATTTCCTCCGTTAAATAAAACTGTCACAATCTGGTAAATTTGAAATTTATTTTTCTAAAATAATATTAAAAATATTATTATATTTATAAAATATTCTAATTTCTTT